GGAGGGGTCTCAAGCATGCCTTTATATCATGTTTTAATTTGATGTGTGTGTGTGTGTGTGTGTGTGTGAAGCATGCCTTTATATCATGTTTTAATTTGATGTTTTTGTTACGACAGATGGTTGCTTTAAAAAGAATCTGTACTTTTAAGTTACTCGACAAGATAAGTGATACTGTGGTATAGGAACTGAATATTTCAACGGTATGTAGATTTGCTGTTACTTTTATTTCTGCAAATAATGCAGAGTGAGACATTCTGATTGATAGGCGAAAATATTTCAAAACTCAATTCTTACTCTATCTATTTTTTTAAAAATAATCGATTTACTGGAAGAACAGAATTGATAGGAAGGGCATATTTTGCTTATACTTATATGTTCAGTAGAATAGTTTACCTGTTGTAGCCGTGGCCACATGTCTCACGACTGAGACTGATGTCTAAGCATCATTGACTCTAATATTGTGCAGGTACTCCCATTACATTTTCAACTTTTTATGATCATTAAGAATGAAACTGAAAATTAATTAACCGTTGCGTAGACTTTCTTCAATAACATGCATGGTATCTTCAGCTACTCACGTTGCTCCTTCTCTCACCCCCCCCCTACCCACTATTTTCTTCTAACCACCCCCACCCCCTTCCAACTCCTCATCGACTTCTCCAATATCACAACTGCGTGTGTTTTTGGACAACTCACTGACCCGGATTGGAACCCGCACCCGTTAACCACCAACCTCCTCCAGACCACCCTATCCACCCACCACCGACATCGGGTGACCCTTTCAAACTGGAGTTTGAACCCCCAGCCAACTGCGTGCTGCGCTTCAAGCAGGGAGTCATGTGTGTCTATCCGTCGGAGGAGGCATATAGCCAGGGCACACCCTTTGACTGGCCGCACCCCGACCTGGCAGAGTTTATCAAAGACCAGAACATGATGTTTGCCCTGATCAGTGACGGGCCGCTGTAAGTTGTATTCTCTCTCTCTCTCTCTCTCTCTCTCTCTCTCTCTCTCTCTCTCTCTCTCTCTCTCTCTCTCTCCCCCTACAATACAAACTGCGCACCGCCGTTCCCGTACTCACTGAGAGAGATGCACCCTCACTACATATTCTCGATCTCCTGCTGACATTCTGTGTTTTGTCGGCAGTTGGTGAACTCACAACCTAGCTGTCAATGTGTGCACTAGAATACTATTCTATGTAGGCCTACGTGTGACGCCCTCCCTTCTCTTCAAATTTACAGACAGCCCAAGGCTGCATTGTGTTTTGGATACAGACAGCTATTGCGGTATCGATTACTTGTCGCTTCATTGCCCCTCCCTCCCTCCCTTACACCTCATGTGTTGGTCCCAGGCACGGTGGGGGCTGCCTTCTTTCTAGTGTGTTGTGATGGTGTAGTGTGTAGTGTGTAGTTCTACAGGTCTTGTTTAGAACAGTTTAGTGTGCCAGTCTAGTGTCTAGTGCCTGTGCTCAAATGATACAAAATTCGTTGCGATACTGGAATTATACTCTGACAGTTTCTAACAGTTTCGTGATACGATTCCTGACAAATGAGGTTGACGTTTCTGTCAAACAAAACACGATCAGCAAGCAAGCATAGGCTACAGCCGTGCTGGTTCAACTGGTTTCAATAGGCTATAAAATGTGCTGACATAGAGATAATGCCAAGACTAACTTTACTTGTAAAACATCGTTACATAGACTCGATTTGCGTCAAGATCAGTATTTATTAAAAGAAATGTATCAGTTCTCTCAAGGGAAACGAAACGTAACATAGGCCTCTATAGGTCTCTATATTACACCACCAGCTGAGGAGATTCTGCGCCGAGCACGTCATGGTTGAATGATCAAAGGCTAAACAGCGAGCGCCCCCGCCCTCCGCCCCCTGTCCCCTTTCTCTCTTTAAAAATAAAAGACGCTTTTCAGAAACCGAGTGTGAACAAGTTCTGTAATACATGTTTCGCGTGGTCGGTTTGGTAATCAGAGTGGAGGGTTTACCAGAACGTGGTTTGTGACAGCCTTCTCGCTGCATGGAATTTTTCCTTTTGGATCTCGACTTGTTTCATTCTTTCTCCCCCCCTTTAAGCGGCAGCTCTCCTTCGCCTTGTGGTTACTGGTTACCCCATCAATCATCATCGCACTGGACTGT